ATACCGTCCTATAGAAAATCACACAGCATTTATGTCCGGTACTGTATAATAGTCTTCAGTCTGGTAGTATTTAACTATCAACTCAATAAAAAAAAATTGTTATCTCTTACCGATCTTGAGATATAAACAAAATTATTGATTGAAGGACATGAATTAGTTTTCAAAAAACGTAAAACGATTTTTTTTAAAACGTAAAACCATCGGTAATACATTCTATGTATTACCTATCAACTTAAAATGTACATAAATATTTGTCGTTTTCGATACCGAAAAACTCGGTCGGCATAATACGGACACGGCATAATGACAGCGCTGAATGTACGATCGATCGTCGCGCATAACATCCACGCAGGTTCAGAATTAGAAGCGGCACCTTAAATTTTCCGGCATATTAGATTTTTGCGCCTTTTCTGATTTTAACTTATAAAATCTAAAAAGTAATAAGTGAGGAGATGTAAGTAAAATAATTAGTGCAATAATTCATATGAGCACATAAATTTTAGTTCTATTCTTTAAATTTTTCCTCCTCTCTTTTTTTTCAATTTAGTAGGATACAATTTCTCTTCTATTGCATTCCCACCATCAACTTTTTTCATGAGAATTTCCTACAAATAAAAGAAAAGAAATACTTATTATGTTCAATTTTTAATTATTGTGATTAAATGTAAAAAATAGATTAGCTACCTTACTTATCATTTATGAGTCACTTAATTTTTCGTTAAACATTATAAAATAAATAACAATCTCTGGACTTTGTACACTTTGGTTTTCTTTAGGGGGAAATTGACCGTTCAGAATGAAGTCGTAAGTAGACAGAAGATTCATGCTGCATTCACATGAGAGTGAATCAAAAGTCAACAGAATAACTATTTGAATTCTTCTGTAAATCTATATTTAGAATTTTCCCAAAAACTTAATTCAAATAAAAAGTAATTTTGAAAAAAATTATTAATAATTTTAACACAATTTTAACTGTTGCGTCTTTAATGCCTTATACTATTGTACTGGAGCGACATTTGTACCAGAATTATACTGTCCTGAACATTTTGGTCATATAACATTTGTGCCCCTTTCGAAATGTGCCAGCAGTAAATTTACAATGTTGGTAGAGTAGAAACAGTTTCAACCGTTCATTGTGTTTATTTATTCAATGATCCTCTAGTACATGTATTTATTGGATATAAAGTATATTCATTATGATTAGTAGAATATTCATTGATTATTTTTTTTATATTTTTTTATTTATTTACCAAAAAAAGTATATTTTTAAATTTATCTGTACCTCAAAATTATAAAAAATTCAAAAACACATGAAAACATGATTTTAAATCTACTTAATTTTCTCCTAATATTTTTAATAATTTGTCAAACCCTTTTCTTTTCTTTTCCAACTTCTCTTCTTCTTCTTTCTTTCTTTTTGATGTGTAATATCTGGAAAAGACATTGAACTATAAAATGACAATGTTCATTTGGTTGTACTTTACTTCATTGTTATTGCAATAAAATAACCTTTACATTTTGTTTCGCAGCTTGAGATTTTTCCCTCACCAGCGCTAAAAGAACATTTATTGAAAGATGGTTGTTTTATTTAAGTAATAGGTACACGGTATATCAATTGATACACTCCCCAAAACTTTATTACTTTTTATTAATTTTTTATACCAAAAAAAATTTACATTCATAATTTGGCGCCTCAGTAATTCTTTCGTTTTTTACCAACATAATATTTTCCATAGTCATGCAGCAACTTCATGGTAGTACCAACTTTATAAAAAAAAATCGTACTTTTAAGGAAAAAGATTCTTTTTACTTAAAATGCGGTCCAAGGGGCGCGGCCAATTTTTTTTTTGCAAATAAATGATTTTCAGGACACAATAGTAATTGCAATTTATTGTCGTAGCTAATCAATGGGGTTTTCAAAGATTTTTTAATAAAGTTTATGTCATCATTGCAGAGAAATTAGAAATTTAAAGGAGCGTAACCTCAAAAGTGCTAATTTGAGCGGAATAGAGACACGGTAGTGCCTTCGTCACCGCTATTCATACTTGGCGCTCGAGACACTACTAAAATAAACGTGTCTCTTGATACACGCATTGTATATTTTGTATTTGAACGTTGGCAGTCATTTTCCTTATCGTATTGAGCTAATAGATTAACGTTCAAGATTCTAAATAGAGTTTCAAATAATACAGTGACTGAAAATTCAAGGTTATTAGGCTTCCATGTTAAAAAATCACGTTTTTTTATAAACGAGTATATATGCCGATCACATACTTTAATTGATTAGCTTTTTACCCAGTCATTTTTAATGAGTAGGTGTCAAGTGAAAAATAATTTCTTTATATAAAGAAATAAGTGATACTGAACTAAATAAACTAAGTACAAAAAATTTTAATCGTAACCGAACAGAAGAATAATCGACCCGAATATTCTAATAAATAGAAAAAAAAAACATAACGTAAGTCAAATTGAAATTAACTATCTAAATCCAGCTTGTAATTTCATTTTTCTATTACAAATATTGTAAAATAAGACCAAATAACGACTTCGGAACATAAATTAATAAAGGAAAAGTTTATTTAAGAATGACAGCAATTCATTAAAATCAAAGTATCCGTGCGGTCAACGCAAGTCTCAGTCAAAAACTGGAGATAAACAAACTCTCCCTTCGTTGCTATAAACAATCTAATCTTCAAGCAATCGTCGTTAACTAACAAACTGTCGTTAGTCTAATAGTCATTAGATGGCGACATACAAATATTTTACAATATCATCAAAAAAGAATCACACTATATAATCAGTATTAAATAATCGACGATAAGTGGCGTCAATTATCATATTTCAATATTCCAGGTAATATCAATATTAAAAACCTAATTGATATTATTTCAACAAAGTTTATAGACTGTGAAGAAGGTGATAAGCATATAATTTTCAAAAAGGTCTCTAAATTTGTGTTTAATGCAATTTTACTTTCATACTTGAATGCTTACAGTGAACGTATATTTAGTCACATCAATTTAATTGAAACGAAGACTCGTAATACAATAGTTGTTTCAACTGTCAATGGCATTCTTTTAGCGGAACAAAGAATAAAACATAACAACATTGACTGTACAGCATATGAATGATCTCAAAGTAAGTACAGTCCAATAGATAAATCGTTAATGTACAAAAAAAAATTACATTAGAATCTACAAATAAAAAATTTATGATTTGTATTATGATACGGATGTGGATAAATTTGATAATATCCCAATGCCAAATGAGTAGTTTTTAATGGGAATAAAGAGTGAATATACTACTAATAATAAATTTACGATTTTAAGATTTCTTTATTTTACAACTCAAAGATATCATGCGATATATATTTTTTTTTACATATATATATATCTATATAGTGTTTAAGAGTTTGGTGTCCTTTAGAAGCTTGAAAACTTTGTTTATCAAGTCTGCGTCGCTGAACAAAGCTGAGGTATTACTCAGGGGGTTTTTTCTGTGTGTTTCTGGGCTATTGCATTTGATAAGTAGGTGACGTACTATTATTGGTTAACAACATTGTGTGCATGGATTATCTGGTAGTTTGGAGAATAAATTACTCTGCGTTAGCCGTGTGTGGCCAATTCTTAAACTGGTCAAGATACATTGCAACCTTCTGTCGTTAACTACAGGTGTCTCACTTCAGACATTCTGTCTAATTCGGAGAAGTTTGGAGCGATTGTTGGTCCATCCGACGTTCCGTTTACACCAGATATATTTATCTATAACTTTCTTGAAATCTTCTCTGGTTGTGCACTCTGTCTTTTCGCATGATCGTCCTTGTGCGGTTTTCGCACACATCATAGTAACAACATAGTAAGTAGTAAATTTTAAGTCTACGTTGAAGCGGTAACTCTTTCCGTACGATTACTGTACCTATATTGGAAGATTTGAATAATCGTATAAATTGTATGCACCACTCAGGATGGCAGCCCTTTAATTTTTAAGAATACAATAGTGAGTACTTCACAACCAAAAATGTTTTATGCGGTAACATTCGAACAGAAAATGACTGAACTAGTTTTGACGAAAACTTAATCAATTTCATGTTGCACAATTATACATCAAATGCAATTGATTCCACGTCGTGCATACAGTACCGGATATAAATGCTGTGTAATTTTGTATAGGGAAATCCCATATATAACTTTCAAAAAATTACACAGAATCTATGTCCGGCACTGTACACGCAAATAGACGTCCACTTAAAAACTATTGTATTAGACTCTAGGGATCTTGGAACGTGGAGATTTCAAAATTCGGGATTTTGTAGAATCGGACCCATAATAGTAATTTCTCAATGGGAAGTTAAAAATTTGGAAGGAAGGAATACCAAAAAAAATATTATTTTCTCCAAACATTATTCAAATTGTCTCAGTAACGTAATTTTTTCATTTTTCGAAAGTACTGCTTATTGCTTGAAAAACGGAATTTTTAATACATATTAAGACCAATAGATAATGTTTATAAAATGGATAATATGCATTAGTTTATTTCTAATTTACGTAATAACAAAAACTCAAATAATGCTAAATTAGAAATAAAGAATAAAATATTGAAATATCGTAGGAAATAGTATTTTTTCAGTTCAAAGACTCACAAAATAATTGCCTTGAGTGAAGAAAGTAAGGGGTAAAGCAAAGGACAAGTCGAGGAAACGAGAGTAATAAAAAAAGAAGTTGTTAGAAGTGTATCTCAGTCACTGAAAAGGATAAAAGGAAATGTTGCGCGTGAATCCTTAAAAAAAAATACGTTTGATGTTGTGACTTCATATAAATATATCTGAGATTTGTGTCGTTCGATTGAGACGAAATGAAAAAAAACTTTTTTTGTTGATATTTTTAATAATGTAGTTTATAATTAAACCCGTGTCTACATGAACTATATACATATTTATTAATACTTAATTTATTTTATTACTTATCAAATTTTCCTTAGAAGTCGAGAAGCATCATAGTTTTATGACGTGGTGTCATTTTATTAAATCATGATCGGAATAGACGAAGCATGTGACAAGAAATTGTCATTGGTAATAAATTTCCTTTCAAAGAAAAATAACTAATTTACGACTTCTATCCTTCAATAATTAACTTCTACTCATTTTGCTAATTATCTGCTCATAGTTTATCCTGTACACTAATAAATATATTTGAATCTAAAATTGATTTATATGTTATTGACTTCAGTTTGATTCCAAATAAAAGTTTCAATAATCATATATACGGAAAAATCTTCAATGAACTCAATCGGAAATCCGACTGGTCAGAAAATCACATATTGACAAATCAATTACTTTGAATACAACCTTTGTATGTTTCCTACTCAATTCTTTATAACCTTATATTTTTCTCTCATTTGTAAACAAATCGAATGACATTTTTTTCTTACAAGAAAGGTAGAAAAATCTCTTATATTTTTTTACTACATTTTCTGTAAAAAATTTATGTATATTTCTTTTTGCTATTCAGTACGGACGGAATTATAATAAACTAATGTAAAATAATATTTTAAACAGTTTCAAAAAAATAATAATAAAATACATGAAAATTAACTGCCAGTAATATACATTGTAGAGGTCATTCGTACGAGTAATCTGAAAATTCCATACATACATGCGTAATAAAGTAAAATACGTAGAATAGTTTTCCATCCAAAATTGTTTCTCTGAATATACAATGAAGATAATTTTATTCACTGCAGTCATTAAAGAAAAAATTTCATCCTCAAAATATAATGACTTAATTATGATTAAATGTTGTCATTAATTTACTTTATGTTGTAAACGTTTGTAATCTGAAAAAGAAACGAATCTTTAGTAACAAGTATGTTTATTTGCACCAAAAATGTAAATGATATTAAATTTATGAAATAAATCATATATAATAATAACCAAAAAAATATTAATATTAAAATTAATATTATCTTTCGAAAAAAGTTCTATTTTTTAAATTCTCGGTGGTATATTATATCCATTACCACTCATAAAATATCCTATGATAAAAACTAAAAGAAAATAGTTATAAATCATTTTTAAGAGTACTTCATTCATTATTAAAATCACCCTATTTGCCGACGAACACGATGACCACTTAAAATTTATTTTACATCTTTCATAAGTTTCTAAGGTAAATGTTAAAAGTCGAGCTTCTTGATTATTATTTATTAATTATTATAATTTTTAATACTTTTTTCCAAATTTAGAAAATTTCTTCCATGATCATTATCATATAATGAAAAATATTTACACGCAAGGATAAAATCAAGATAAATCAATTAATAAATAGCCTATAAAATATAAGATATTTTTTTTAAAAAAAAGGCATTTTCAAGTACTTGTTGGTTCCCATCTTTACAGGTTCTCTCAGTTAGATTATTCGCTTATCGGTTCATTGTGGATTCCTCTTGTCTTTTATGAGTTTTACGTGTTATGAATACTGAACACCCATGGCAAATTTTTTTTATTTTACCTTACACTCGATTTTAATAGAAAAAATTATTGAATTTAAAATTAAACAAAACGTTGAGCATACAATTCACTAAAAATAAATCATGAATTTTTAGAAAACTTCTGTACAACCTGAAACTAACACTGTAAAAAGTAAATGTGAAATTCAATGATTTTAACTCACAGTTGTACATGAAATTTTCGAAACACTGTCAATGACTTTTTAGTTCATGAACAACTGTACACGGAGAAAAAATTCCAGTAAAAATTACCGTGCTCAGCACAACAATCCACGCGCAAATGTCAATTCCCTAAAAAATTAAGACAACCTTCAAAGAAAAATTAGTAATCCTTTTAAAATTTTTATTATAGATTCAATATTTATTAAGAAGAGTAAAAGTAAAAATTCTTATGCAGCACGGTAATATTCGATAAATATTAATTTTTATTCAAACTTTAAACAAAAATTAGTAAGTGACTAGAAAAAAATAAGAATCTGTATATAATTTATTATGATCCGTGTGGTAGGAAAAATTCGGGTGCTCTCCTATAATTTTTTCTATTCTCGAGAGTTTCCGTGCTGGGTCGGGAATCTTCGAATTATCGGTCCAACACAATCTTTCTTTGTATTGTAAGACCGTTCACACAATCAAAAACATAAGCCGTAAAACGTACAATTTAAGACGTACGCGTGCATACTAACATCATAATAAGTTAAAAATTGGTTTGTACGCATGCGTACATCTTACGGCTTTTGTTTTTGATTGTGTGAACACCCTCAGTGCTATAGTTACTTTTTCCATATTGTAAACAAAGATGACATTCATATTTTTCGTTACGATTCAATATTGGCGGCAACACGTTATATCTTAACAATTTATGATAAGCTTAAACGGATTGACGCGGTGGACTCATGGGTAAGCGTCAGCTTGACACACGATGGGTCGCGGGTTCGAGTCCCGGCCGAGACAAAAGTCATTTATATGATTTTTCTCGGGCCACCGTGAGCGGGAGAAGAAGATCTCTTCGGAGAGCCGGGTGGTTGTATCGACGACACAGGTTTTCTGCGTAAGATCCCGATCGTAGGGATAGGGGGGGGGGCAGTATTGTAAAACGTGTGCCGTATTTCATTCCAACGAATTAATTAGTTAAGAAAGTTAATTATCAATGAACCTAATTTATTTATTTATTTGTTTATATAACCAAAAAAATTATCACTAAACTTAAATAAAATTGTTTGTCGGTTACGTAGTTATCACAGCTAACGTTACTAAATTTTCAGGTGCTGTGGAACACTAAATTTTCTGGTGCTGCCAAAGTAATTTTCAAAAAACTGAATGATACATTTTCTTATGTAACTTATAATTTTTGTATGTTGATCATTACTTTTTACTTTTCAGTAAGTTTGAACTCACATTCTTGAGCAGCACGGTAATTTTTGTATGGATTTTTAAATAAAAATTAACGGAATTTTTTCTCCGTGTAGGATACTTATATGTCCTGTACGGATATTCAATGATGTAGAGTAAAATTCGATATTTTAGCTGAACTTTAATGAATTTTATTGAAATTCACTCATAACATGGAAAATTCATATGTACTGATTGAAAATTACAACACATGTGCTAAGTATTTTTCAATGTGCACATTAAAACACGCTTGGCGCTGGTGAGTTGATAACCTTAGAAGTTTTTCGTCGATATCTCTACACGATCTTAAGTAAAAAATAAAATATTAATATGTTAACAATTAACACAACAATATATGTAATTCTATTCTTTGAATCTCAACAATGAGTTATTTTAATCACCAAAAAATGTTCTGATGTTTTGTACTTATTGAGCGATAATTTACGTTTTGCGTCTAGCTGTAATTTTCTTGTACTGAATAAAAACATTCCTTTCAAAAAAGAAAATCAAAATTTTTAGAAATATTTTGATCAATGAATTGGTTCACTATCGAGAAATCATTATGGATATGATTATATATATCTTATTAAAATAATTTTCCTCATAAGTCGATAACCGAGTGGGTTAAGTCACCAGATTTAGATCCACACGAGTTGGTGATCATAGGTTCGAATTTCGCCCAGAACAAGCTTTCACGACAATATGGATTTCTCGTAGTATTTTCACAAACCATTACATGTACATTCAAATTATCACAGAAATTTTTTACAGTATAATCTTATGAATGTCTAATTATGACAACCTCTTATAATGAACATATTGCTTTACAATATTTGCTTAGTACATTTGTATTGGCTGATTGATCTAGTGAGGTATCCCTCATTTTCGAGTCACCATTATGATCTCTAGCTACCTCACTTTCTTTCTTTAAAGTTTATAAGTTATTAATTACCAATGATACTATGAGGCTATATTTAATTTGAAATAATAAGACATACAGCTACTCAGTTTATCCCCTTTTCTTTTTTTCTTCTTTTTCTTTGTTCAAAAATTTTATAACATAGTGTCTGTATTGATCACATCTTTTCATTACTGTAAGATTGTTAAGACACTGCATATATAAGGACATATCCTTATGATAGATTGTACGAGCCTAAAAAATATCAATCAATAATAATGAATATCTTATCATAAAAATTGATATTTTTTTTTAATCACTAACTATTACAAATTAGTGAAAATTAAAAGATAAAATAATTCAATCTTATAATTACTTAATAATTATGATAATATTTATTAAAATTCGATATCACTTGTCCTTTTGTAGCGCGTGGCGCTGTGTATAGCGATGTCTCGCTTTGATACATGGGAACAGAAAAGTATGCGAAAAAATAGAAAAAAAGCGCAATTTCGCTTTTGGGCACGTTTTTTCTACGCACTATGACGAATATTTTCCCATCTTAAAATTAAAAATTGCCCGTACCACTAAAATTGTCTCACAAATGGAGTAAAATGACACGCGTTGACTGAACTGTAATAATAAGTGGCGTTCAGAGCGGCAGTACGTGTGTTGCTAGTTCAGTGTTTCAGTATAAGTATTTATCTACTGTTCTGCTATACCATGGGTAAATTATGTGTATTTTGTAAACTAAGCTATATATTGCTTTTCTTTCAACACATGTGATTGGTAGACGATGTTCTTTCTTTGGGGGGCACGCTGTAACCTCAGAAGGACTTGCTCAACTTCATTTGTACCAAAAATGAAATATAAATATTGTCATTTTTTTCTTCTGTGGGACTTATATCCAAATATCAATAAGAGATTCAGTGTCACAGGAGTCGATCTAAAAAGCAGCAGATACAGTTATCAATGATAGCAAGAAAATAAAAACTGTTGCCAAAGAATTATATTTTTGCCAAATGACACTATACAGATTTGTTAAGAAGCTAAGATCTAGAATAGACGATATCACGATTGGCTCCAAAGAAGTAGGATTGCTCTTTACTGATGAACATAAATAGTATTTTACGTGCCAAGGCCAGAAAGTTGAATTTCCCGGCGTGCGTGATATGATAGCCGAGGCGAAGCCGAGGCCCTTGTATCACACACACTGGGGCATTTAACGTTTTTGGCCGTGTGTCGTATACTATTTTTCTTGATCCTGCCGAAAGTAAGTTCGATCATCACTTGATAAGCTAAACGGTTGCACAAATGTAAAGAGCGTTGGCAGGAAGGTTATAGGCTACTTTTTGTTCATAGAAATTGTTTATAACAATTAAATTCGTTATAAACATTGGAAAACGGTATCGACTCAATATATTTGAGTTTTTTTAACGCGTTCTCTTTTCGTTTGCTGAAAAAATGGTACCAATCGTGTTACATAAATTGAACACATACTCCTTTTGTTTATAACAATTGAATTTGTCGTAAAGGAACAAAAATTGAGTATTGCGATAAAATTTAAATTATGTTTCTTTTTCCATATTTATGTATACATTATCTATTAATTAACTCAATCACGTAGGAATTGGTTTTTGGAATTGACAAAGTCGCAGAAATCTGTTAGTTTTAGGTTTAAACATTTATCCCAAATATCCTAAACTACTCGTTTTTTATAGGATTGCTAATTCTCTTTTACAGTCATCATAATCCTATTTAGTTGTGTTCAGAGGAATATTCTAAATTCTGTAGGTTTTACGATCGTTATTTATATACCTATTCAAATTTGTACATTCCTATTCGACTTTTTCCGGGTAGCAGAAATTTCTCAACTTTTCCACTTCAAATATGATGACTCCCATTTAAATTCGAAAAAAACCTATAGGATTTTTCGTTTTTCTGTAAGAATGTTTAAGCCGGGTAATAATACTTGTATACTGTCATAAATAGTAAAATTTTACTCTCTTAAAATAAATTAGTAAAAATTGCTAGAGAATCT